TGTGTTTTATGATTTTATGAAAATATAATTAATTAAACAAACAGTAATTAAAAGAAAAATAAAAAAATTATAACAAGAATAAAAAATGGAGAAAATTAAGAGAAGTTGCAAACCAAGGGGGTATCAGTCCCTAGATAGGAGGTGTAGCCCATGAATTTGAGCCCAATGACCTTCAGGTCCATTGACTTTTCCAGACACCATGTGGCACCTTTGACCAGGGTCTACCATATGCCTTAAATCTGAACCTTTTGATTGATGTAACCAACGCGTGGACGACTGGATCTTGGGAGTGTATGGTGCGCTCCACCTTTGAAACTGCACAGGAATATGTTTTGCAAAATAATATGGAAATTAACGTAGACCTGGGGCTCGAACCCAGGTCATGAGGGTTAACATCACTACATTCTGCCAGCTGAGCCAGTTTACACATTCAATATATTAATAACGCACAAATAATATAAAAGAAAGCCAAGGCATTAGTGGGTTAAAGCGCGCGAATTTCAAACCGTCCAATCATTGATGGCCACGATACCATCTTCTTCGCGTGTTTCTTTTTTTCCTGAAATACACAAAACAGTGGCAACGGTTTTCACGCGTTGCCTAAGACGTCCTACAAGAAAATAGCGATTAGGCATGGAACGTCCATAAATTGGGCGCGAGGGTGGGTTTAGATTCGTCCAGATGCACTGATTCTAATGGTGGTAGTCTTGAGGGCTAATTTTTCTTTAAATAAAAAACCCCAATTTTGAGGTCCTGCAAACCCTAGAACACAAACATGGCATAATCGCGTACACAGCATAAAAAGACAATTAAATGCATTGGTTAGCCTCAAAACTTCATAATGAACATGAATCAACCATTAAAATGCTATGAGAATGTCTAGAAATTAAAATACGATCATGGATTTTTCTTGATACAGTCTGCGTTCATGTTACCAATTCCTCGTGTTTTGATGGTTGTCTTTGATTGGAATCTGTTCAGTGATCTCCAAGGAAGCTAATGGAACAAGAATTAGGTCTTGAATCGCCCTGGAAGGATGTTTTCAGAATTGACTTTGTGGAGAAAAATTTCAAGTTTGCTTTGTGTTCTTTTGCGCAGCTTAGTCTCTATCCTGATTAGGGTTGTGTTCAGGCATATGTAGTGAGTGCATTAGGTCAAAAAAACTCAATCAAATCCATTGCATTCATTGATTTTGAAAATTGATTTTCTAGGATCTTTTTCAAATATTCTTCCATGTGCTTTTGTGCAAATCATGATCTAATCAGTCCAATTCTTTCCATATTGGTACAAGCACGAAATCTTGAGAGTAAAACATGTATAAAAAGATTGGTTAGGTTAAGTTAAGTATTTTTCATATATTTAAATGAATTAATATAAATAAAAATTCAAATAAATAAATAAAAAATGAGAAACTACTTCCCTTTGGGCCAAGTGGTCGTGCACATGTCATGGATGATGAATTATGGAAGAAAAATGGGCCCATTAGCAATTTTAGGTCATTTGAAGTAATGTTGACTTTTCAAAATATCCAAAAATTTCCCAACTTCCATAAGGCATAACTTGCTCAATTTTTAAGCTTTTCTCATGTTCTTGGACATTTTGGAAAGGTCTTTGAGTCCTCTAACCAATGTCTTTGGTCCCATGTCATTTTGATTTACCAATCTCAAGTTATGGTCTTTGACTTAAAGTCCCTTTTTGTTGACTTTTGAAAATGACCTATAATGTTGAAATTGATAACTTTTTGTGAGAGCATTTCTTGGACTTGAAGTATGAAGATGAGTTGTAGGAAATGTATTTCTCTTAAAAATGAGCTTTGGATGGCATTTTTCTGATAATCCATGTGAAAGTTATGCCCTGGTCAATTTCAGTTGACTTTTTCAGCTGTCCAAATAAGGAAACTTTTGCATCTTGATGATTTCTGAGCCAAATTTTGAGAATCATGATCAAGCATTGATCAAATGATGTTTGTGGCTTCAAAATGATATGTTGACCAAGAATTTGAACTTTTGACTGTCAAATGACCATTTTGCCCCTACAGTTGACTGTAGTGCAATTTAGGGTTTTGACTGTGCAATTTTGTGCTGAAAGCCTTGAATCTTGATATGAGGATACTTGACCATATTTGTAGGCATGTGAGACTTGATTGGACCTTTGGAAACTTCATTTTCCTGATCAGAACACAAACCCTAATTTGACTGTCTTAGGAGGCTCTTGCACTGTGCAACCCTTGGGGAATTCTGAAGCTTGACTTGGCAAATCTTTGAAGAATATGGGAGGGCAAATTTTGGGGTACAACAACGTCAAAGAGAGTCATACACAAAAAGAACCACTCAAAAATATCGAATAATGAAGAAGTTATAATCGTCTGAACTTGACCTTGAAAAGGTCGAGTTTTAGGTCAATGTAGTTGATTTTCAGTCATCTGAACCATTGACTGAGAAAACTTGTGATGCAAGGCTTGAAACTTGACACGAGCATCCTTGAGAACACATGAAGAACCATGAAGACCACTTGTAACCTTAGAAACTCAATTTTTCTTGAGAAGTACCAAACCCTAGTCGTGGACTCAATGCTTAGGAGGAGAATCTGTCTGATCAAATCCTGAGTATTTGAGAAACCCTAGGAGAACATCTTGAACGAAAAATGGGAGGGAAAATTTTAGGGTACAACATGTGCGTTCACAGGATGCGAGAAATCTTCGCCATCCATAGTGGTTAGCATCATAGCACCGCCAGAGAATACTTTATTGACAACAAATGGCCCTTCGTAAGTGGGAGTCCATTTACCCATGGGATCGCCTTGTGGTAAAATGATGTGCTTTATTACCAAGTCGCCAGCCTGTATACTCGAGGTTTGATATTTTTGTGGAAAGCCTTGATCATACGCTTTTGATACATTTGACCATGACAAACAACAGTCAATCTTTTTTCATCGATCAAGTTCAACTGATCTAACCTAGTTTGAATCCATTCGTCTTCGCCCAAGTTTGCTTCTTTCATAATCCTCAGAGAAGGAATCTGAACTTCAATAGGCATGACAGCTTCCATGCCATGGACTAAAGAGAAAGGGGTTTCCCCAGTTGATGTTCGAGCCGAAGTACGATAGCCGTGAAGAGCAAATGGTAGCATCTCATGCTAGTCTTTATAGATCACCACCATCTTTTGCACAATCTTCTTTATGTTCTTATTGGTAGCTTCCACTGCACCATTCATCTTAGGTATGTATGAAGAGGAATTGTGATGTTTGATTTTGAACTGCATGCAGAGTTCGGTGATCATGGCATTGTTGAGGTTGATTCCGTTGTCAATGATAATCCTTTCAAGGATGTTGTACCGACATATGAGGTTATGCTTGATAAACTGGGCTACAACATTCTTAGTGATTGGGGCAAATGAAGCAGCTTTGACCCATTTGGTGAAGTAATCAATGACGACGAGGATGAAACGATGTCCATTGGAGATAGTGGACTTGATTTCTCCGATCATGTCAATGCCCCATTTTGCAAATGGCCACAGAATAGTCATGACGTTTAAAGGTATCGGAGGCACATAAATCTTGTCGACATAGATTTTTGGTGTAGTGATTCAAACTTTCGGTGTAGTGGAGAGTGGATGCACTTGCAAGAATATCGCTCCATTCCAAGGAAAAAAATGGAAGGATAAAAAAGTTAGTTTTGTTAGCAAGATTTACATTTTTTTTTAAATATTTATTTTTTGAGTTATAGTTTTTACTAATTTTTATATTAATGCTTTGTACATATAATATTTTAAAAAGATATATATTAATTTTGATTAAAAATGAATTTAATATAAAATGAATTGTTTTTTTTTTTTTGTTCAATCATTCACTTTCTCATTCTCACCCATGGAATATATTTAGAATATATTTATTTAGATCGAGTGACATCTTCCACCTTTTACGAAAATAGATAGAATGAATCTAAAAGTGAGAGATGTTTAGGGGACATATACATATACTTACGTGCACATCTTTGAGCATCATATCCACATAAAACAAAGCATCTAGTCAAGGTTCCATGTCTGTGAGGGGCATCAACCTCATGGCACAATCTTCTAGTTCTTATCTCATATGTTATCTTGAATTATTAGACTTATCATGCAAGAGTCATGTTAGTTTGTACATTGTAGAAAGTAAGTCAAAAGAGTATTAATTGTGAAAAGAACTTAATAAATTAAATGACTAGGTTCTTAGAATATTGTGATCAAACTGTTGCAAAAACTTGACCATGTTTAAAAAAAAAATGAAAAAGACAAAATCACATTGTAAAATTCAAATCATATGGAATAATTGATGAATGACAAGAGCTTCGGCTGTCTTGTGTCTATCTGTTTGTTGTGGTTGTGCAAGTTAAAAACTTCTTGAATACCTTAAAATTGGTTACTAACTAAAAAGATAACTTGTTTGTGTCACTAAAAAGTGTTTGGTTTATAAATTGACCCAACACTTCTATTCTAGTACCGGAAAATAATGACTTTACACCAACTTTTCTCACAATCTCTTCATAACTACTCCTCTCTCCATATTAATTAACCTATTTACAAAAATTATTTATACTTTAATAAAATTTACAAAAGTAATTTACATTTTAATAAAGTTTTAAAAAATAATTTATTCCTTTTTTTATTAAAATTATTGATTTATAAATATCAAAATTTTATTTACATCAAAACATAAATATAAAAAAATAAAAATCAGAATCTCTTGACATCAGATGTAGACTTAAAAAATTTATATCAAATTTCAATAGTTAATAGCACTCGATCATACATTAACTATTTTTATTATATGGCATACGGAAAATACGATAATTTTTATTTTATTTTTTAGGTGTATTTATATATAGTTTAATTCACTTTTTGGGCGTGTATTTTAAGGCTGTTTCTTGATAACTTTTTGTACATTCTATCAATTAAGCCTTTCTCTGTCTCAGATTTCTCCTGAATCTGAATCAAAGTTTCAGTCTAAAGAAAGAAAAAGGCATGAAGAAGATGAATGTATTACTAAGAAAGTGCAAGAGCTTGTCAAAACAATTAGGAAGATCATCATCATATAGTAGCTTAAGATCAAAATCAAAGAGAGAAGATTTATATGATGGACATGGCATGGAACAAGATGAAAATTGTGAAACTATATTTGTTGGAAGCTCGAGGAAACGGTATGTAATAAGGTCAAAGTATTTAAACCATCCTCTTCTTGATGCTTTGATCAACAAGAATAAGCAAGATGAAAATGTTTTGGTTGTTAATTGTGAAGTTGTTTTGTTTGATCATTTATTATGGATGCTAGAAAATGCAGATCCTAAGTTTGGTTCCGAATCTTTGGAAGAATTGGCTGAACTTTATGTGTTTTAAGTTGAAGAAGTAGCTTAATGTAATTTTCTTATTTTACACAATTTATTGCTTTTTTAACTTGTTTTTATTCATTTTTCTATTGTGTATTAAATGGTGATTTATATTCTAAGTATAATTGGAATTCCAAGAGACATATATTTCTTTATATTCTTGATATTGGTTCATGCAAATTTTGGATTGGCATCTCAATCCTCCTACACACATTTGTTCATCTTTCGTCATAACATTAGACACTCTCATGTATAATTTTTCTGATGATGTTTCTATTGTGCAACTGTGTTGATGGTTCATCATGTTTGGTAAAGTTTATGAGGTTTTTTTATCATAAAAAAAGTTGGGATTTATATTTGGTTTTATCAAATATCTTGAAATTAAGAATATCAAAAAGCTTTTAGATAACTTCAATGAAGTTTGGTAATGAGTGGGGCGCTTCTAACAATGTCTGTTATTTAATTAATGTTTATTCCAAATGTGATTTGCCTGATGAGAGAGCAATGTGGATTGATATGTGTTTTCCAAGTGTACATTTTGGAGGTGATTTTTGGTGTGTATTGGAGATTTCAATTTTATTTTCTCTTCTGATGAAAGGGTGGGAGTGGGTGTCCCTTCCAGCTCCTCTAGAAGTGTAGATTATTGAGATTTTTTTTAATTTTATCACTCAAATGGAGTTAGTTAATCTCTCACTTTTAGAAAGAAAGTTAACTTTATTTTTGCCTAATGGTGGGTCAACTAATATACTTGATCGAAATCTGGTTTTTTATGGGTGGTGAATTATTGGAGTGAGATTTCTGTTTGTTTGACAGCGTGTCACATGCAAGTATATACGTATATTTGAAAGTAGCAAATGATAAAAAGTAAATATACCGTACTCACATGGAGTGAAAGTTACTTAGATTAATTTTGTAATATACTATCTTTTGAATTTAAGCATGAGTAAAGATAAAAAGAATATAAGAGAGTGACAAGTTCAGCTTTCTCTTAAACAAGATCTAAACAATATAAAATGAGTGTTGTGAATATATCAAGAGAGTGTAAGTTAAGCTATGATTCATCAATATTAGTGAAGCAACTATGTGTTTATGATGTGAAGTGTCGTGCCAGGAAAAGTCAGAAAGTAATCCATGTGTGTATTTCTACAATATCAAAAGCATTTGTTTCAAGACAAGGAACAAATCTCTAAGTCACACTTATAACCTTAAAACACGTCTGATTGTATTTTAAAATTTTTGTATAGTTGTAGTTCTTTATCTCTAAGTGAACTAATTAAGTGAATATCTCTATCCTACTCTTTTCAACTACTTCTATTATGAAATCCACTTGTTATTTTCTTCTGTGTTTTTCTTCAATATGTTGAACCCTCTTCTCATTCTTCAACAGGGTCTATTTATAAGTCTTTAGCTAGGGTTCATTTTGCATTGTCTTGGATCATGGGCCTTTTGAGAAATCACGTCAAACTCAATGCTTTCTTCAGCATATTCCCTTCATTCCTTCTGCTTCATATGCAAGGAATCAAGTATAGAGACAATTGTGGGGGACAAGTTGTAGTGTGACAGTCTTGTCATGGCAGGGGTGCAAGCGGCGCAGCCCTTTTCTGCAGGACGCGTTTTTAGTGGGCGTACTATGTACCCTATTTTGTCCTCTAGCACCCTTGGTCTTATCCATTTAATTCAAAAGAATCTCTTCCAATGCAGCATCAAATATTCCTTCTAATGCAGCTTCTCTTCCACGTATGCCCTAGGAATTCAAGTGGTCTCATCGTTTCACCCTTTGAGTTGTCTTCAGCTTTTTGCTTTAGTTTAAACTCCCAGATGTTATCCCATAATGTCTTGCCTCAACTCATTAGAACTAACCTTGAAACATACAACAAACACATCGAAAATACAAAAGTGAGCACCTATTATGCTCCAAGCAAATTAATATTAAAAGAAGATAAAATTCAATAAAACAAACTACAAAATAAAAAATCAACTAGCTAAGAGCAAAGATTAAGTTATTTAATAACTCACAAAATATAGGTTATCAATGTCCCAGTGGTCCTTTATAGGGATTTTTATAATCATTGTCCTATTATCCTTAGGTATGCTAACTAGGTGTGAGGTCCTAAGCCTTTTAGATTCAATAATAATTTATTGTCTTACAATAATTTTTCTGAGTTAGTGCACTTGTCCTAGACGGGTACAAAGATCAATGGTTGAAAAAATTTCTTTTTTATAGAAATTAAAGGCTCTCAAATTGGTTTTAAATTTGGAATAAACAAGTGTTTCGAAATCTTGACTGTCGGGTTGACTCTTTAAGAATTGGTGAGTAATGTGAATTTTTTGGCTGATCTTAGGATCTTATCTACATAGGAGATTGAGACTAGATCTGGAGCGATTATGGATATTTTATCTTTGCTAAGGATTAAATATTCGTTCATAGATCAAGGTCCAAGTGGCTTAAAAAATGTGACACTAATTCTAACTTCTTTCACGCTTCTGTGAAAAGTAGGGGTAGATAGAATGCTACATTGGCTCTAAAGATTGGTGAAGGAGTGTCTATAGACAAAAAAAAATAGAGGGCTTGAAAATTAACAAAATTCATTTGAGTTAATAAAGATATTTCTTTAGCGATACAACACATTCTCGTAAGTTAATTTTCTCATTTGGTTTTAAGATGAATATTATGATGTTAATTGTTTTATTTGACTTTAAGATGAGTATTCTAAAGTTAATTGTTTCATTCAAATTTGAGATGAATAAGAGAGAAATTGTTGTTATTATAAAGTTAATGGGAGTAAGTTTATATTTTTTATATAACATGCCAGTTCTATCATAATAAGTGAAGTTTTTTCATGTGAAATCAAAAAGTCTCTAATGAAAATTTAGCGTGAAAGATCTTGGGACACCTCTTTTTTATTAAGTTATTATGATATTTATAAATTATTCTCAAGGTATCATTTGAATATCACAAAAGAGTTTTGATTAATAAGGTTGAAAGAAAATTCGACAGGAAATACAATAAATTTTAGGACATGTCAAATATTAATGAAGACTATTAGGTTTTAGTTATAACTACTTAAAGTAAATTTGAAAATTTGAACATTTCCTTACGCTTTGGTTGTGAGAATTATATATATATATATATATATATATATATATATATATATATATATATATATATATATATATATATATATATATATATATATATATATATATATATATATATATATATATATATATATATATATATATATATATATATATATATATATATATATATATATATATATATATATATATATATATATATATATATATATATATATATATATGTGTTAAATTTATCAGGGTCCTCATAAATAACTCATCATTTAATTTTAATTCCTAATTTTTTGACGTGGCACACCATATTGCTCGTCATGTTATTTAAAGTTAATATTAAAATATACTTGTTATATTCAGGGGTTTCAAACCCCCCTTATTTCCTTCGAATATGGTATCAATCTATCTTGAAGAAGCACTTTCAATTGTTTACACTCACCTTTCTCTATCCCTACAAGAATATGTCTTTCTGTTTGTTCATTGCTTATGCTCAGAAAAAAATGGATCCAACAAGGCATGACATTGCACCATTATATATTTAACAAACATTTTACAATTCAAAATGATCATTTAATCATTAATAACATGTTGAACATGCAGTGCAAGTGTGAACATTTAGATTATGCTCACCACTCGTTTGATCAAATGCCAAGAAATTTTTTTGTTTCTTGGACAGTTCTCAGTTCTG